GTCGTTGTCGTCATCGATAATTTTATTGTTGTTGTTGCTGTAGTTTAATTTCTAATGGGCAACTATTGTTGATCCCCCCTCCGGTAACCATTGTATGTTTCAATCAAGGTGCTCCTTCCGGGGCTCGCACCTTGCTTTTTACGAGGGACAGTGTGGGGTCACCAGATTGGGTTCTAGGCCCCCAGTTTACAACGACAACGGTTCCCGCCTGATATTTCCTCACAATGCATTCCCAAATCGCGCTCTCTTGCGTGGGGCTTCCTTACAATGTATATAGGGATAGCGCTCTCGCGTGGGGCTTCTCGCACTTTATTCAGACGCCGCGCCCTCGACACTCAGACATCACGCTTCCGCTGTGGATTTCTCAAGATTTGTTTGGGAATCGCGCTATCGCTCGAGACTTCCTCGCGATTCATGCAGGACGCACGCTTCATCAACCCGCCTGCTCGACCTGGCCGCCTGGGCCCGCCTTCCCGACCCGCCCGCTAGGGTCTACCCGCCCGATCTGCCAGTCTGGTTCTGCCACGTGTTCTCTTCGAGGCCCCCTTCCTGCTACTCTCTCTCGTGCTCCGTCCTCCTCCCTCCCCCTTGTCCCTTCCTTCCATCCGTCCTCTCTTGCACTACCTTAGGGGTGCAGGAACTATGCGTGGCAGGTAATAATGATATACGACAAAGTGAGTACGATCGAAGACGAAGAGGTTGGGTATCGAGGGTTTGGGATATACGTGTTGAATGGCACGCGAGCAGGTAACAGCGAGCAGTCTTAACATGATAGTGGTTGTCGCTGTGATTGTTGTAGATGTTGTCGTTGTCGTTGTCGTTGTCGTTGTCGTCGTTGTTGCTGTTGTTGCTGTTGTTGTTGTTGAACATTATTACTTCTAAAGAATAATTATTGTTGGGACCCCTGGTGCGCGGCCCCCTCGCCGCGCCTAGGCCGCAGCCATGTTTTCATCATTTTCGTGAGGAAGTCTCTGGCAAAACGGGTTGGTCCGGATCCGGTTGTTTTGTTACGGGCGGTTTTCCCTTGCAAAAAATAAGGCAAAGTGGACATTTCTTGTTCTAACATAACCAAACTTCAAGAATCCCTTGCAAAAAATAAGGTAAAGTGGACATTCGCGCGCGCAAGACGAAATCCTTCCAAAACCTTAGTGTTCGTAGCGATTTTAACATAAAAACATCAAAAAACCAATGGTTTTTCAAAAAAAAATGTCAAACTTTCATCCCGCGCGCTCTTGCGGATTCGTAGGAAACCCAACACTTTTTAAACATTTCTGTCAAACGGGCTTTTGCGAGCAACTTTTTCGAACTTCTGCAACAACGGTTGCGCACCTGCCAGGGCCATCATCCCTGTCAAATAATACCATGCGGGACACATTCGTTTTTTCTTCGCGCGCGCACGCCGAAATCTTCAAAAGCCATTGGAATTTCGCAACATTTACGAACACGAATCATAAATCGTCGTATACTAAGCTAGCGTCCAGAAAATGTTACCACAACAAGTCACTGTACCCATGCGCCAGTGTAGTAGCCACGGTCGTCCGCAGGCCACGAAGTGAAGTGTCCGAACGTCATAGGGCGGGAAGCTGGGTGTGGGTGGTGGCGAAGAGTCGTTTGGAAATTTGGTAGAGCTTGAACCGGCCCCCCCACAAAGTGGGGGTATTGCCCGCCTCCTATGAAAACCCTGGCACTGGTGAGAACGGAGTGTCCCCACGTGCTAGTAATTGTTGTTGTTGTTGTTGTTGTTGATGTTGTTGGTGTTGTTGTTGTTGTTGTCGTCGTGGGTCGAATGGCTTCACCTTTTCCGTTCTCCCTAGGGGGCGGACGGGACTCAATCTGCTTTCAACTCCTTCCTACTTCATGTTTCTACCTACATCTTCCGACCGATGGGTACCGATACCGCTACCCATCGATCACATGAGAGCCCCTAACTCTAAGAACACGATAAAGACGCGGCCTCACTGAGGTCCTGGTCTGCTCATGAGGGATTATACATGTGGGCGGCTTGGTCTGACACATTTGCAGAAAATGCTCCTATCCCTATTTTTTTGATCTCCTACCTTATGTCCCTCCGAAAGGGTTAGGGGTTCTGTTTTGGTTAATCAGCTACCTCTCCCTCGTTTTCCCTTTTTGAGGCCCCCTCGAGGCCCTCGTCGCCACCGCTGGATTCGCCTCGAAAGCCTGGTCAGAACGCACCCCTGTAGAGGTCTGGGGAGTAGCGGTATCGGAACCTTTCGGTCTCCCCAGATTTCCCTGTTGGGGCCGCCGTCGTTGTCGCTGCCAAGTTCCGACGCATGCCGAACTCATACGGTTTCTCGCCCAGGACCCCACACACAATCTGCTTGCTCGAGGGGGCCAGTGAGTGTTTCAGCCGTCGCAGTATTCTCCTCCCCTTGCTGGAGGTCGGCCTTCTTGTGGGAGGGGATGCCTCTGGGGGCAGCTCACCAGCCTCGAACTTATCCCCATCCCTAAAATTGACACGCCGAAAGGCGATGGCAATCTTAGGGATGCGCCCCCAAAAACTGAGGGAATCCCTAAGATTGGCACCGTGATGGGGCGGTGCCCAGCACGGGGATAGGGATATGTTCCAGGCTGGTAAGCAAGGGCTCCCTCGAGGGCGCGAAGTTATTCGCGCTTCGCGCTTCGCCGTCCTCCTTCCTCCTCCCCCTCCTCCTCGTCCTCCTCTTCTCCCCCTTGGGAGGGCGGCGCGAGAGCGCGAAGTTATTCGCGCTTCGCGCTTCGCGCAGCGCGAAGCGCGAAGTTGGGAGCCCTTGGTAAGGGATGCCTCTGGGGGCAGCCCCTCCGGGCGAGGTTGCTCTCTCCGGGAGCTGCTTTCCCCCTCCCGCTCCCCGGCAGGTGCCCAGGAGTGGCCCGGACGGCCTGCCTCGAGTTCGGAGGAGGAGGAGGAGGAGGAGGAGGAGGAGGAGGAGGAGGAGGAGGTACCCCATACCTCTACCCCTCCCTCGTTCTCCCCCTCGTGATCCTCCTGGGCGGCCCTCGTCGCCACCGCGGGATTCGCCTCGGAATCCTGGCCAGAACGCACCCCAACGCAGAGGTCTGGGGAGTAGCGGTATCGGTACCCTCTGGTTCCCCCACAAGTGATTCTGTTTTGCATCGGCTAATGCAATATGGGGGCCATATGAGGCTGTTCTTTCCCAGCATCCGTCCCCCCCTGAGCCGCTCTCTCCGTCCGCCCCCCTTCCAGCCGCGTCCTCCCCCCGCTCCTCCTCTTGCATGGTGGCACAGTTCGCTTCAACGGCATCTCTGTTTAGGCATCCATCGCCAGCGCAGACGTCCCCAACGCTCCCCCCCTCGCCCCCCTCCTCGCCCCCCTCCTCGCCCCCCTCCTCGGCCCGGCACCCCCGCCCACGGAACCTCTGCTCTTGGAGCCCCCACCCCACGACTTCTCCTCGCCCCCCCCCTCGCTCCCCTCCTCGCTCCCCTCCTCGGCCCGGCACCCCCGCCCACGGAGCCTCTGCTCTTGGGGCATTTTTCCCCAGCAGCTTTTTGTTTGCCGCCCTCCGCGGCGGGCCCGCGCCTCGGCCCGGCGCCCCCCTTCGCGCCCGACCTCTCTCCGCGTGCCCGCGCCCCGGCGGCCTCGCGGGAGGGCGCGCGTGCTTTTGGGGATGCGGTCGGGCCGAGGCATCTGTGCGGGCCCCAAGGATGCACACCACCACCACCACCACCACCACGTCTCTGGGCGCCCGAAAGGGGCACGGAAAGAACGGGTACGGTGCCCCACAGCAGTTCCTGCTCATGCTGAGCAGGATTCGCTGTCCACGCCGCCGCGGCCTGTGTCCACTCGAGACAGAAGGCCGCCTGCCCAACAGCGGCCGCTGTTGGTTTGGGACAACATTTCTTGTTGGGCATTGTACCCATTGTTTCCGTACCCATTTCGGGCGTCCAAAACGTCGATTCCTCTTCCCTCCTCCACCCTCATCTTCCTCGCCTCGTTCCTGGGAGAGGGAGGGGACGAGGCTGGTGGTGGTGGTGTCTACCTTTTCGGGCCCCGCAGTATACGACCGAGGTCGGTTCGGGGAGGGCACTCTGGCGCTCGCCGTGCTTGTTGGATGTGGTTGTGCGTCTTGGGGAGGGTACCCTGGGATGTTCTCTGTGTGTGTGTGTGTGTGTGTGTGTGTGTCAGGGGGCCACATGCGAACCCTACCCCTACCCCCCACGATTTCCGAGGGGGAGGGTGGGGTTCTTTTCGTTCGGGAGCTCCCGAGCGAAGTGAACCCCACCCTCCCCTCAAAAATCGTGGGGGGTAGGGGTAGGGTTCGCATGTGGCCCCCTATGTGTGTGTGTGTATTTCGCCGACGGAGGGCCCCGTGTTCCTGCAGGATGTTCCTCTGGCCTGTGTCCGACCGTGCAGAGACGTGACGTTCGCACAGGCGTCGCGGAGCGGCAGCGCGGCGGAGGGTGTGCGAGCTTCGGCAGGGTTTCACCCCGACGTTTCAGGCTCACCGTCACCTTCCGAGGCCCGAAAACCATCACTTCACTAATTTTGGGCCCCAGGGCCCACTGAGGCCCCAGGGGCCCCAGATTAGTGAAGTGATGTTTTTTTCCCACGTAAGGACCCCGAAATTCATCACTCCACTAAACCGAACCCAGGACGAAAGTCAGGGGCCGAATTGCTGCTGTGATGCCACATCGGCCTCGTACTCCTGTGCCACTCTGCACCTGTCGTGAATTCAAGGGGATCGCGGAACGCCTGGACACAATTCGGAGGCTTCGTTCGCATCCGTAGCTCCCGCTTTAGCATGCTACTTTGTCCGAGCACCCCCAGCGATCTTCATTCGAACGGTGATGTTCCCACGCACCGGGTATTTCCGTCATGGCAGAGCATGATGATATTGCAGTGTCTGATCGAAAACATTGTGACTGAACCCACTGTATTGTTACTTGGCATGTTGGGATGAAGGCTTCATCGTAATGTGAGTCTGTTGGTACGAGTCTGGACGCCGGGTGCGAATTGGGTTCTTCTTTAGAGTCCCTGCGAAGAGGGCGGCACCTGGTCTGCGTCGCGACCACGCCGGAGTTCCTGAATCACCAGAGGAGCATCGGTAACGATCTCTCGACGCCCGCGCCCATGTACGGCTTCCCGGGGCTGAAGCCTGGCGAGAGGGGCTGGGTTCAGGGGCAACCTTAGGGGAGATAGGCTCCCGGGGGGATGCATCGAACCCCCAATCGCCCATTCATTGCCGATAGGGGCCGACAGCCCACCACGCCCAGGACAGTTCGGAGGCGCCTTCGGGGGCCTATCGCCGATCTATCGGCGATGCATCGCCGATTCACGGTCGATGTTCCCTCCCCTTAGCTGTTCACCCCCCTAGCGTTGCCCCTCGGGCGGCATGGACTCGCATTCGGGCCTTCGTCTCTGCAGCTGCGGAGTTTCCTTTGGGACCCTGTCTCGTGCTTTTCCCCACGGAGCGCCAAGATGCACGCCTCGTTCCATTTGTAGGGCCCGATGGCACAACAGCGCCTCCGCGCGTCGTCGCGGTCGCCAGCGGTGCAGGTGGAGAAACCACAGCCTTTGGCCTTGGGGCTTCGGTCGGACCCCTGGCCTCCCCCACAGGACTCGCCCTGAGCACACCTCCCCGCCCCGGGAGGATGCACTCGGCCCCCCCCCCCCTTTGTTGCCCCCATCCCGCTCCCTCCTCGCCCTTCCTCTTGGCTTGGCTCTCCTTTCGGGCGGGACGAGAGGGGAGCATCGGGCAAGGGGGGGGTCCGATAGGGGGGAATGGGGAATCGGGAGTCGGGAAAATCAGCTGCGTGAGCTGGTTCTCAAACCCCCCCTTCCTTTCGCCCTCCGGCGGCGCCCAGCGGCGGCGGCGGCCAGAGGCGAGGGCATCGGCCGAGGACGAGGCCACTTGCGACGACGACGACGACGACGACGACGACGACGAGGAGGACGAGGAGGACGAGGACGACGACGACGACGACGACGACGACGACGACGACGAGGAGGACGACGACGTGAGCTTTGCTATGCCCCCCTTTCGCCCTTCCTCTCGGCTTGGCTCTCCTCGGGCCCGGCGCCGGGGCCCCCCCGCCGCCCGCGCGCCGGCCCCGCGGGAGGCGACGGGGCGCGCGTCGGGCGGGAGGCGCCGCGGGGCTCCCGGGGAAGAGCCTCGAGGCGGGCGTGCCCCCCTGCAGGGGGACTCCAGGGCTCATTTCGACGCCGCCGATTCGATTCGATTCGACTTCGAGGGGTCCCGATTCCGGTTCGATTCGATGTCGGACTCCGATTTGGGATGCGATTTCTCACTGGAGGCCTACTTGCCTGCCGATTTCCGCCGATCCGACTTTTCCCGACTCGGCTGCCGATTTCCGCCGATCCGATTCATTTCGAACGTCGATCCGACTTATCGATTCGATTCTGGGGGCGCTTGGGATTCTGGGCGAAAAATAGAAAAGATCAAAAAATAAACCCAAATGGTCAAAAGATACTAAAAAAGTAGTCCCCAGACTATGTTTGGATTCTGTTTTGATCATATTTGGGGTATGTTTTTTTTTGTTCGCCGAAAGTCCCCCTGTATGGGGGACAGGCCCGACTCAAGAAGAGCCTCCTCCAGCGGGGGAGGCCGTGTTCCTCGGGAGCTCTGGCGTGCAGCCGGCAGGAAGCGGCCGAGGGACGGCTGGGAGTCTGTGCGGAGCTCGCTCCCCGCAGCTGTCGCGCCGGATCCTGGGGGGTCCCCATGACGTTGGTCCTTATTCATGAGCCTTGTCGGACACACCCACACACATATATATATATATATATATATATATATATATGTACATATATATATGTACATATATATATATGTACAGATATATCAGCCACCCGCTACAGATCGCCGTATTGCCATCAAGAAAGGGTTCCTCGGCGAATCAGGATTCCGAGTTGTTCTGTTCTAGTTTGCTTGTCTCCCGAGGGCCCTAGTTTGCTTGTCTTCCGAGGGCCCTGAGACCGTCAGACAACGACTCAGGATTGCAAGCGTGTCCTCGGGAAAGCCCTGGGGTCCAGGACCCGTTTTCTTCAGATCACTTTCTTTTCATGCTGAATCGAAGCGTCGGCATCGCATGTGTAGGCATCCTGGAAGGGAGGATGTGTCACGCGAATTTGCGCCAACTGGGTCAGGGCTCGAGAGCAACGGTGACGGCATCGCAGGAGCAAAGAGGCTGGGAAAGAGAAGTGCGACCAACGAAGAAACGGCAGAATCGGATCTCACACGGGTGCAGTGGCGCCGGTAGTGGGCGGAAGGCCAGCCAGTTTCATAATTACCCGCTTCGGCTCTCTGGCCATTGCGCCATTCAGCATTACTACGCACGCGCAACACTTCATTCCAGCGCTCCAGGGGCCCCATGAGCGCTCCGAGATACCCCATGTAGCCCCCAAGAGCGCCCCTGAGCCCAAGACAGCTCAAGAGATCCTTGTTATGCTCCTACTACTGCCACGGACCGCATCTATTCGATAATCGGGCGGCCCGAGACAGTAAAACGCCATATGGATTTTCGTGTTTGTGGCTCTGAAGACTTTTGCGCTGAGGTCGTATTGGCCCAAAGAGAGCTCCCCAAGAGGTCGCAAGAGAGCCCCAAGCGGTACCCATGACGGCCAAATAGCACCCTCATTTCACCAATGCACCCCCCATATGCTCCCCGTTCAGCCCAAACCGGCCCCGATGTGCTCCCACGATGTTGGCCCCATACACCGCTTATGAGGGCTCGGTGCGTTCGCAATCTTTTGGACGCTGTGTTCAGTGCTGGTAGCTTCCGACAGGGCCTTACGCCAGGCTCGCTTCGGGGTCGATGCAGCGAGGACCCGCAGGCCCCCAAGAGGCCACAATAGCGCCCCCAAAGACATGGCATTTCGGCCTCATGCAGCATGATGACAGGTGAAGGTCAATGCGCACTTGGCTGACAAGAAAGGGTTTGAAACTGTACGCCTTTGAACATTCCACGGCTTGTTTCGAACTGATGTGTAGTGTATTGGTGTGAAGCGCGCTGTCGTGAACTGATCTGGGAAGATGCATGATGGACTGTTCTTCGTGTCTGAAACCGTGTGCCCGATTGCAATGACGCGACATCGCGAGACACAAGGGCGGAATGCGAACACGTAAACTGATGGTGTGTAATGTGAGTTGGGGCTGCGCCTGTGGGTTGACGTATGAGATGCTGGGCCGAACACAGAATGTAAGGAACACCTTGCGGGTGTATGAGATACATGGAAATAATGGGTGACAGGGTTTTTGGACGGACACAGAGAAAACGCAACTCAGGCGAAGGCCCATCCTTCCTTCATCCCATTTCGGTCGAGATCCCTGTCGTCAGTGCAGTGTAGCACAGCAAATTCATCGAGCAAGAAATGTGTGTGATCAATCTGTTTGTACGATGCTCACAGCTTGTCCAGCCGCATCAACATGTACTGCTGATAATCTGATTACGCCAGTCTCTAACATAGTACTGCACACGCTCCCGCACTCGCTTTGTGTCTGCACCGCAGAAGCAGGCATTCGGTTCGCTTCAGCTTCTCTTGGCTGGTCTCTCGCTTGTGGGCAGGGGTGGTGGACGGTCTGGGGACCACCCTGCCGCACGGCTGGATGCACTTTCTGGGGCGTCGCCCACCTCCTGCCGACGGTGCCGTGCGTGGCTTTCTCTCTCTCTCTCTCTCTCTCTCCCGGTTCCCCGCTTCCTCGCCTCCGCTTCGCCCGCGCGGGTGCTCGGAGCGACGGGGAGGGTGCAGGCGACAGCTGGTGCGTGTGCGCGAGCCGCTGGGCCGAGGCCACCCGCCCGGGGCCCTCCAACACCGCATGCCCAGGGAGCCCGCCCTCGCACGGCCCCCCCCTCTCTGATGATGGTGATGATGCTGCTGATGATGATGATGATGATGCTGATGACGACGATGATGATGATGATGATGATGATGATGCTGATGACGATGATGATGACGCTGATGATGATGATGATGCTGATGATGCTGATGACGACGATGATGATGATGATGATGACACTGATGATGCTGATGATGCTGATGACGATGACGATGACGATGACGATGAGGATGATGATGATGATGATGATGATGATGATGATGATGATGATGATGATGATGATGATGATGATGATGATGATGATCAGAATGACGACATCATTGCTTCCCCCCCCCATGCTTCGGCGGCGCGTGCCCCGCCCCTGGAGCCAGCTGCGCCGACAGGAGGGTTCGCACCTCTCCTCGCTGGCCACGGGGGCTGGTCTGCACAACGCCTCCCGCGCTACCCGTGAGCGCGGCGTCGCTGCTGCAGCAGCGCGGCTGTGCGCGCTCGTGTTGCTCCAAGGTCCACTAGACTCGCGGGGATCCACTTCGGGCGCTCCCTCGGGCATCGGGGCAAGCGCTCCCCCCCCCCTCCCGTCTCCTCCGTGCCTCTCTCCTCCCGTTCCGCGGATTGGTGATGGCGTTGTTGTTGTTGGTGCTGTTGCTGTTGCTGTTGCTGTTGCTGTTGCTGTTGTTGTTGTTGTTGTTGTTGTTGTTGTTGTTGTTGTTGTTGTTGAACATTATTACTTCTAAAGAATAATTATTGTTGGGACCCCTGGTGCACGGCCCCCTCGCCGCGCCTAGGCCGCAGCCATGTTTTCATCATTTTCGTGAGGAAGTCTCCGGCAAAACGGGTTGGTCCGGATCCGGTTGTTTTGTTACGGGCGGTTTTCCCTTGCAAAAAATAAGGCAAAGTGGACATTTCTTGTTCTAACATAACCAAACTTCAAGAATCCCTTGCAAAAAATAAGGTAAAGTGGACATTCGCGCGCGCAAGACGAAATCCTTCCAAAACCTTAGTGTTCGTAGCGATTTTAACATAAAAACATAAAACAACCAATGGTTTTTCAAAAAAAAGTGTCAACATTTCATCCCGCGCGCTCTTGCGGATTTGTAGAAAACCGAACACTTTTTAAACATTTCTGTCAAACGGGCTTTTGCGAGCAACTTTTTCGCGTGCTTCGAACTTCTCCAACAACGGTTGCGCACCTGCCAGGGCCATCATCCTTGTCAAATAATACCATGCGGGATACCATCTCAAATAATACCATACCATTAACTGTACCCATGCGCCAGTGTAGTAGCCACGGTCGTCCGCAGGCCACGAAGTGAAGTGTCCGAACGTCATAGGGCGGGAAGCTGGGTGTGGGTGGTGGCGAAGAGTCGTTTGGAAATGTGGTAGAGCTTGAACCGGCCCCTCCACAAAGTGGGGGTATTGGCGGGCGTTGTATGAAAACCCTGGCACTGGTGAGAACGGAGTGTCCCCACGTGCTAGTAATTGTTGTTGTTGTTGTTGTCGTCGTCGTCGTCGTCGTCGTCGTCGTCGTCGTCGTCGTTGTTGTTGTTGTTGTTCTCGTTGATGTTGTCGTTGCTGTTGTTGTTGCTGCTGCTGTTGTTGTTGCTGTTGTTGTTGTTGTTGCTAATGTGGTTGTTGTTATTCATATGGTTGATGTGGATGCGATGACGCTTGTGCTGATATTGTTGTTGTGGCTGCTGTTGTTGTGGTCGTGGTCGTGGTTGTTGTGGTTGTGGCTGTTGTAATTGTTGTTGTTGTGATTGTGATTGTGGTTGTGGTTGTGGTTGTGGTTGTTGTTGTTGTGATTGGTGTTGTTGTGGTTGTTGTGGTTGTTGTGGTTGTGGTGGTTGACGTTGTTGTTGTTGTTGTTGTTGTTGTTGTTGTTGTTGTTGTTGTTGTTGTTGCTGCTGTTGTTGTTGTTGTTGTTGTTGTTGTTGTTGTTTTCTCAATCCTACAAAAAGTTAGTGTTGATCCCCCCTCTGGTGACCATTGTTTTTTCAATTTAAATGGTCCTCCGGGTGCTCGCATCCTGTTTGTTTATCAGATAGCGTGTGGTGCCACCAAATCTTGTTGTCCTTCGGCTTACAGCAACAAAGGCTTCCGCCTAATAGTTCTTCACAATTTATTTCATCGCTTCGCTCATTCCGTCAGCTCGTTTTTGCGTACCGCTGAGTCGGCTGGCCGAGTGGTCGTCGGCAGTGCGGAGCTGCAGGGTCGGCGTGTGTGTCTGTGAGAGATTGCTTCTGGCACGTCTGGGGTTGAAGCAGCTCCGGTGGAGCAGTCGCGTGACGGTCGTTTGGACATTGTGGAGAATATGTCGGAAGTTCGTTGGTTTCCTACGTGGTTTCTGGGTGTTTGCCGCCCTGTGGGGCTTCTGGTGTTTCGTGGGGGCTCGTTGCCTGCGGAAGCTCGCTGGGGGGCCGTTCGAGTGAGAGGAGGAGCGATCTGATGTGATGATGAAACTCTCGTGTCGGAGGGTGGCGGGTTTTGAATGGGAACATCGGCTCTCGTTTTGTCCCGATGTCGTTTGCCATTCCGATCGCCAGGTGCAGGAACAGCATTGGTGATTATTTTCCCTTCTATCCTCTTCTCCCAGATTGAGTTCCCCGGTATGTTGTTGTACGTAGTTGGATCAGCACTGGTTTAAGCAAGCGCGCAATTTATGACTGAGTGCTCGTGAGGCTCGTGGTGCGTTTTACTCTTCATTGTCTTTCCTCTCTCACACTTCTGGACCCAATCTGCCCTGTCTCCTCGCAGCGCCGATGTGGGCATCCGGAGGGCAGTGCGCAGGAAGCTCTTGGGAGGTCTCCGGGGCATTCGGGGACGTTTCAACCTGGTGTTTTTTGGCGCTCATCTTGGCGGCCTCCTGGCCGCCCGTTGGGGGCCTATTGGGGCTTCCTAGGGCTTCTGGGGCCCTCCTGGGGGCTCCTTGTTCGACATGTTGTTTCGTGTTCCCCCTCTGGGGCCTCGGTTGGGGCGTTCTTGGGACCTTCATGGGTCTTGGAGTCGTCTTGGGCGGTCCTGGAGCCGTCTTGGGCCACCGTGGGGCTCTCTCGGGGCCCTCTCGGGCCCTCTTGGGGCGATCTCGAGGACTTCTTGGGCCGTCTAAGCCGAAAAGAGGGGCGCGGCCAAATCTGTGCAAAGCCGACGAAGAATCAACACATTGCACCTCTTGGGGCCCTCTTGGGAGTGCTTTTGGAGGCCTCTCGGGGCGTCTGGGGGCAATCTTGCTTGCTCCCGCCTGATAGTTCTTCGCAATTTATTCGAACATCGCATTCTCGCGCGGGGCGTCCTCACAATTTATGCAGGCATCGCACTCGCGTGGGACTTTCTCGCAATTTATCCAGACGCCGCGCCCTCGACGCTCAGGAATCGCGCTCTCGCCGAGGATATCTTGCGATTCATTTGGGGATCGCGCTGTCGCTCGAGATTTCCTCGCGATTCATGCAGGGCGCGCGCTTCAGCAACCCGCTCGTTCGACCTGGTCGCCTGGGCCCGCCGTCCCGACCCGCCCGTCAGGGTCTACCCGCCCGATCTGCCCGTCTGGTTATGCCGCGTGTTTTCTGCTCCCAGCCCCCCCTGCTGCTATTCCCTCTCGTGCTCCATCCTCCTCCCTCTCCCTTGCCCTTTGCTTCCATCTGTCCTCGCTTCCCCCGCCTTGGGGGCTGCGCGAAACAATCCGCCCTATTGGGGGGTGCGATCGAAAACGAAGAGGGCGGGTATCGAGGGTTCGGGATATACGCGTTGAACGGCACGCGAGCAGATAAGTGCGACTAGTATCATTCTTATTGTTGTTGCGTTGCTATTCTTGTTTTTTTTTTTTTTTTTTGATATTGTCATCGGTGATGTCGTTGGTGTGGTTGCTGTTGTTATGGTTATTGTTGTTCTTGTTGTTGGGTTCGTAATTCTAAAAGACACTTATTGTTGATCTCTGTTTCGGTGACCATCGTATTTTTTCAATTGGAATGCTCCCCGCGGGGCCCGCACCCTGTCTTTAATCAGGGAACGCTTGGTGCCACCAAACTGTGTTGTCGGCTCCCTGTTTACAGCAACAACGGCTCCCGCCTGATGCTTCCTCACAAAACGCACTCTCGCGTGGGATTCCTTTGCAATTTATTCAGACGCCGCGCCCTCGACACTCAGGAATCACGCTTTTGCTTTGGCCTTTCTCATGGTTTAGTTGGGAATCGCGCTGTCGCGCGAGTTCTTCCCGTGATTCATGCGCTGCGCACGCTTCACAACCCGCCTTTTTGATCTGGCCGCTTGGGCCCGCTTTCCCAGACCGCCTGTTAGGGTCTACCCGCCCGATGGGCCCGTCTGGTTTTGCCCGGTGTTTTCTGCTCCTAGCCCCCCTTCTGCTCATCCCGTGCTCCAGCCTTTTCCCTCCCCGTCCATCCGTCTTCTCTAATTGCGCGCGGCATGTAAGGAAGATGTATTCCCAGGGGGTTGCGTTCGATGACGAATAAAGCGGATACCCAGGGTTTGGGAGTATACGTGATGAATGGCACGCGAGCAGTTAAGAGCGAACCGTTTTACATTGATTGTTGATGTTATTGCTGATGCAGTTGGTGTCGCTGTTGTTGCTGCTGCTGTTGTTGTTGCTGTTGCTGCTGCTGTTGTTGTTGTTGTTGTTGTTGTTGTTGTTGGTGTTGTTATTGTTATTGTTTATGTTGTTGTTGATGTTGTTGATGTTGTTGTTGCTGCTGCTGTTGGTCTTGTTGTTGGATTTTCATGTCGATCTAATAAACAGTTGTCGTTGACCCCCTTCCAGCGACCATTACATTTTTTCAGTTAGAATGTTCCCTCCCTGTGCCTGCAGCCCGTTGATTAATGAGGATCGTGTGGTGTCACGAAACTTAGTTGTTGGGCCCCGAACTACAACAATAACGGCTCCCGCCTGACAGGTCCTCACCATTCATTCCCAAATCGCGCTCTCGCGCGGGACGTCCTCAC